TTATTTGGGAACAGCAGAGAAATAATAAAATAGATTAATTGGAAAAACGTGACATTCATCCCACTCTTGAGGCAATGCATACCATTCACAATTTCCTCGTTTGCCGCCGTCGCGTCCGTCGAGAACGCTTAATTCGCTTCACGTGACCCGTCCTTCACAATGACCAGCAGCCGGGCTTTCTTCCGTTCCACAACAGGCTTACTCAACACGTTGGCAGTCATACAGTGGAGCCCATTCTGTAAACATATCGTATTAAGGGGAATCTAACGATTTGATCCACTCCCAAATAAATTTGCATATCTTAATTCCTACACAGAGTATCGAAATAACTCGCCCAGCAGAGTCAGACCACCGACTAACTTATAATTTAAGGTAAGAAACGTTGCATCTTTAGTGTCTGTTGATGGAATACAAGTGAACGCGTGACGCTTGACAAGAGAAAAATACTTGAAGCACTCATTCTATGGCAAGATACTTGTCCTCAACGCGCCTTTCTGTTCCGCACTTCACAAACAGGTCAGAAAAAAGTGCGATTGATACACTCGAATCTTCTTGAACGTGCACAGTGTGATGTCTAACTACCAAGTGTAACAATTATTTTTCCCCCAGAACCATACTTCTGCGATCTAATGGCAATAAGTGTTATATCCGCTGACTACTCCTTGCTTTCTTCACACATGTTCCATTGAATGCTTGTGCTTTCGCATAGAATTCAGCATCACTATGGAGCATTAAAAAATACATTATCTTTCCGGGGATGTTCCCACAACTGACGATTTCCAATGAGGATGGGGAAGACAGTTGAAAAACAATAATAATGGATAGCTGATCTTGGTTCTGATATAATTGTCTCTCTCAAGAGCATCAAAAGTAAGAAAACACTCAATCCACTTCAGTTCCCGCGCGGGGCATCTGAGTTAATATTTATACGTTGTTCTCGGCTTAATGATTTATTGATGTTTCTGGGCACGCCAAAAACTATGGTCACTAGTCCCGCTAGTGTAGTTAATGTTATATCCCGGGAGTTGGGATGTTCCTTCCCCGCTGAGTGGTCAGATCCGACGCCGACGTACGTCTCGAGGATGTTTTTGCAAACCGGAATACGTATTATTTAATGGAGTTCTAAGAAATATATTTTATTTTCTCATTTACGAACTTGTAATAAAACGCAAATTATAGATTCACTACGATACTTAGGGGATCCGTGCAACTAATGAATTATGATACAATGTAGACGCGTGATAACACTCCACTCGCCATACACATAAAGTCGCCTTAAGGAGTCGGTGGTGATAACCAATTTGTTCAAAATTGTATCTATGGCTGCTGAGGCTTTCTCAGAAACAGTCGAAGTGCACGTGTTTTATGTAAGAGTAACCGTCACAGTGTCCAGACTTATTTAACGTCAAAAATATTTAAAAACTGCGGTTGACGTACTATTAAGCAGAAGTCCAACATGTGCACGTTTTCTTGAGGTCTGGAATATCTATTCCAGCTCTTAATTGAAGTTAGAGCAACAATTTTTTACGTAGTAATCGCCTGTATCTCCTCTCAGTAAACATTCTTACTCGAGGGGTCTGAGGATCAGATATTCTCGATTGCATTGCTACAACAGACACCTTACATATCTGGCAAAGTAGCATAAGCATATCTTCACACTATATTGATAATTTTTGGTAAGCCCTATACTCACCAAATCCTTTCTGCTGTATTATTGTATAATGGAACTCTATTTCTTTTTACCGTAAAGTTCATTTTTCGAAACAAGTATTAACTTATCTCTTTTCCTTTCTCTCTTACGGGGACATGCATTAACATTTTTACACTAGACACACTTGCGGGCTCCTCGGTCTGTGGTCAGCAGACCCACAAGGCCTTCCGCGACAACACACATACATGAAAGGCGAGGGACAATCAACCCCGCCCACAGCAGGCCTCGAACCCGCGACCCTTCCGACCGCGGCGCTGAGTCGGCACTCGCTCTAGCCACCTCTGCCTCTCCAGTTCGACTAGAATGAACCTACCCGATTCTGTATTTTTTCTTGTCTATAATTTTCTTTTGCGTCAGAATTTGGTACATCATGACAATGTATTATAGTCACATATTCTAGACGATCTCAGTGTATTATACTGAACGAATCGTCTCTTTTCACTTCTTTTCGTCATATTTTGGTTACCTGAGGTTGGAGTATTCAAATATCCCGCGCGAGTAAATCGTCTCTAGTAGTCACGGAGTAGTGGAACGTCATGTCATGTCGTGGGATGTCATAGCCCGCAAGTATGCTTACTAGCGGGCTGTGGTAATGCAAAACTGAAAAGCTTCTGTCGTAAGGAAGAAATTCAAAACATTTCTGTCCACTCTCTACTACACATTTCCACCAGCTGAAAACTATTGGAGATGCTTTTTCTAAACTGGATTAACTCCTTACTGGATAAACACTTATCAGTGGAACAGGCTGGTTTCTAACAAAACTGACTGGAAAGATCGAATAAACAACAAAAACAGTGTTTGCTTCCTTCACTGAAGCATATAAAATTATATGAAAGGATGGAACCATAGAAGTTGAACCATACTATTCCTAGTCCAAACTTCTCACATCTTATTAAGAACATCCTTTCTCGCCATACTAGGTAATAACAAAAACAAAATTAGAAAATTAAATAATAGACTCCACATAAGGTTCTTAGAATTAGGAATGGTACCAAACTTGTTTTCAACTTGTAACAATCACTTATGTATTTGATATGCCAAAAATAAAGGGTATATCGGTACATTCGAATATGCTGGAGACCTGACCATTGTGCTCAAGCCAGCTTATGAAAAGATGTTGATAATCTTTCCCCAAGATCTAAGACAAATGTTTTACGCCAACTGGAGACTCACTGAAAGCTCATGCAAACTTGGAAAGTACATACTTTCAACCAAGCTGGGAGTTCTCATAAGTACATGAAGAGAATTAAATGGGTTTTTTAAAAATTGAAATCCCAATTCCTTAAAATTGTAAAGTATAAATAAAAAAGTAATGAAATGACCAAAATTTAAAGAAGGAAAGTGGCTAGAAAAAATCCATCCAAAATTTATTTATTCATAGCTCAATCAGTGTGACTGGCCATGCAGGAAACCAGAGTTTGAATTTTCCTCCCCCTTAACCCAAATGCCTCTTCTTTTGTGATCCAAAACTTCAAAAACAACCAATGCATAGTAGTGCACCAATGCTGTAGTAGTGTGTCAATAGGATTTTAAAAGCCGAGAGGACCTGAAGAATTAAGAGCAATGCGGCTCATCATATGATGTATTCAAAACACCTCATCATTAATGGCTACCAGTACCAAGATATATCACCCCACTACATCTCTAAACACAGTGCTCCTTAGTTCATCAATTGAGAAAAACTCATAGTGATAGAAAATTAAGTTACGGATCCACCTCACCTTTCATTCAAGGATTAACTTACACGAAACTCACAATAAAACTAAAGGTGACACTACACAAAAGAAAATTCAATACCTACTAGCTATGAGGAGAGGGTTGGATTGCTGATAACCTATGGACTGGTGGACATGTAAAATACCTAACCCAAAGACATTCTCATTTTCAACTTCATCGCCAGCAATGGATAACCCTTAAGAGAACCCACACTTCACCTGTCCAAGTAAAAGCCTGTATTACCATTGTGACTGAGCTGCTCTGCACTAAACTCATCTGAACTGATCTAGAACATAAGTGAAACATCAGAGAAATTACATTCAACATATCATCTCATATTATTTCAGTAGTATACTTATCATTTGCGGCTCTCGCGCACAACCAATCTTGATAAATAAGGTCTCCAACGAAAGAGAATTTTACAGAGACATGGCGAATTGCACTTGACTTTAAAAATATAAAGGATTTGTTTTAAAAAAACGCATCTAAATATTCATGTCAAATGCAACCCACAGCACTTGCAGGATTTTTAATCTATATCTTAAATAACTCCTAAACAAAGAGTTTTAGAACCTTAAAACATGAAATTTTGAGGCCACAGTCTTCAAAGAAACGTTTTTTTTATGCCGTAATCTATAGGATACGATATTTGTAGACATTCTATTACATTATTGCTGGTTCGGCACTTATCAGTATTATTCAACACCGACTACATTACTCGATGCTGGAGGTGATTTTCGTTTGTGATGTGTGGCAGACCAAGAAAAACATGGAAAAATGAGATAGAAAAGGAGATGAAGGAACGAGATCAAGAGGAAGATTGGGAAGATAGAAGGATCTGGCGAATGGGATGCGAGAAACAGGGTCAGCTGTAAAGAACCTTGCTGCTGCTGCTACTACTACTACTACTACTACGTCACTACGTCACTCTTAGAAACCTTAGATTTCTCCAACTTATATGTTTGCTTTCTGTGTATACCGTGGTTTGTGCCGACTGATGAAGTTTATTTTCATAATCATTAATTCAAGTTTCTTAATGCAAATAAACCTAAATGATCTTACAGCAAAGGAAATATTAATAGTTGCTTGATACCGATGAAGATTGCCTTTTTATGTGAACAGTGAGACTGTTCATTTATCGAATGTAAGTATTGACATTCTTGTTTCTGAGAAAAGTTTGTGATATAACCTACAGTATCTACAGAATCAGTAACATACAGCATCTGTAACTATGTGAAATGAAAGTACTTACTTGATATTCTAGGTGATTAAATTGCACGAGTGTACCTCTCAGTTCAGTAATAAAGTTAAATAATATTCCAAAGTGTAGGGTTGTGCTTGCCCGACCCTGTTTTTGCACATAAACAACTTTTAAGTAGCTTTCTCAAGAGTAAAAAGCAGTTGCAATATTTTTGTGACCATCAAGGAAAGCAAAAAGCTAACTGTCAACGAAAATTATATAATTACTTCAAATTCTGTTTTTAAGGAAATATTGTGAATTGTTTTAAGAACATGTCTATAACACTGAATAAACCTTTATTCAATAGTTGTTTAAACATTAATTTCAATGTCCTTTTTTTATTTTAAATTCTGTAAGTACATTGGAAGTAGGGTTTTTAAACAAATAAACATGTTTTGTAAAAAACTTCCTCTTTTAATATGGAAAAGGAAAGATAGAGAAGAGGGTAGAATTTAACATGTGAGTGTTCTAGCACAGGTACTTTAGTGTTGTATGTAAACGTATAGAGAAGAAAATGACAATGTTCACTTTCAATATAAGTTTCTTTTAAATTTTTAGATGTGGAAAAAAGTGGTGCAACCATAAATTATTGTTCATATTTTCCACAATATTTGATGGACCAATATGAATTTACAGTCGAGTATTTCAACTTCCTTATACAAATTTAATGGCACAAAAAAATTGTTACTTATGCAAAATTATTACCTTTTTTATATTTAAATTTTTCCTTCATCCTACCATGTTAAATACTTCAGATATACATTATAAAATACTTCTCATTTCTTATGTGTTCAATATTTTTTAACATTCTAGAGTGAGCATTATACAAGGAACTGGAAATGGTAATTCTAGACAAAAGGCAAAGAAAAAAAAGACGCAACTACTTAAACACAAATATTCATTTTCACAAAATGAGGAACTATTCATACAAAAATACATCACAACTTTTACTATTACTAAATCAAAAGAATTGTTACATTCAGCAACAATGTAAAGATAAGTTAACAAGAAAATACTCACTTTATCACAAGCTTCTCAATAAACAAACGACCATATTTGATCACAATTCAAGCTCTTTTTCAAAAAAAACTTTTACCATTTCCTCTGAAAACATTAATAAAAGACAATTAATCAGAATTTTTCTTACTGAATATTCATGTAACATGTAAAAAATTTTGACACAAATTACAATGGCACTAATATATCTTTGCATTTCAACACTTGATCTCAGCTTTCAAAAAATATGCTTCTAAACTTCATAAAGATTAAAAATCTATATACCACAATAAAATTCCAGGATAGATCAAAGCAAACACAACATGGTAACATTATATTAGGCATACAAAATTATACTAAAGAAAACTGAATGGTGTTCAGACTTTTAGTTTTGTTTGTACAGAGTAAAATGACATTTTGAAATAAACCTGTCAATATTTTAAATCAAGAACGCTTAGACTAATTTTATAACAGTAAAATAAAAGCAAAATATCATTAACTTCAAGGGGCATCAAAAGTGTCATCAACCTCATCATCCTCAAAATCACTCAATGCCTCTGGAGGCAGAATGTTGCCAGTAGGCTTTGAATGTCTGAATGTTTGATGAAATTTCTCTTTTCCAAATCTAGACAATGAAGGCTGACTATGGTTGCTATTTAAGGGAAGGTCCTCTTGATCCTTCAATATGGTTGGAAATGCTTCTTTTTCATTTTTGGCCTTTTCCACTGAGTTTCCAGTCTCCTCCTTGCCCTCTGAAGTAGCACCGAGCCGTGTTTCATTATTAAGTACGGTGTTACTCTCCTCTTTGCTCCCGGAACTCTGAGTGAGTGTGGCTGAGCTACTGGAGGAATCCCCTGCTACTTTGTCAGAGAGAAGAGAGAGCCTTGAACTTATTGGAGAAGGAGAAGCTGATGCCCTTGGGCTTCGAGTCAGACTGGTGCTCCTGCGCGGACTCTCACTCCTCCACACAGCAAATCCTTGCTTCACCATTTCCTCTGCAACTGAGATATCCTGAAAGCATTATATGTGCGTAAGTATTGTTGCTTAGAGAAACTGATGCATCTACTGATAGTTTTACACTCATTCTGCAAATCACTTTTGAGACTCTGCACATGCACCAACTCAATCATAGCGGAGCTCACTATTCCTAGGATTTAGAGGGTAGTAAATGTGATGGTTACGTAATAATATAATTATATTTACAGATTAGAGGTTACAAGGGAGATCTAGAAGATCAAATGTGAACAAGAGGATACGGGCATTTAGAGCACCATATCTGCCACCACAATTCCAGAACTACTTCCATTGAGAACAATATGCAATAACTCTTTCTGAACTTCAAATGCTATTGACCATGTGGTAGCTTTATGGTGTTATGAAAAAACTCTAATGAAGATAACCCCATCACTACACTTTCTCTGCGTAGGGTTGGTAACCCAACCAGAGGAGATTTTTATCAATTATTAATAATCCTCAGAGGATTAATCACTGTCCAAATCAGATGATAACTATGGCAAGGAATAAAAGGCAAATGGATAGCAAAATCTCTCCGAATTGGAGCATGGAACGATAAAGGCATGGCCAGCAAAGAAATAGTTGGAATCAGAATTATTAAATATGAATATAGCAATAATCTCTGAAACAGAAGAAATTAACAGGTACAAAAGATTTGGGACATTATAAACTATTTTATAGTGAAGTATCTCAAAGTAAACATGTGTTCTCTTGCTATTCTTCTGAACAACAAATACAGAACCACAATTATATACATTGTTACAGAATTTTAAATACAAGGTTAAAATTTGGAAGGGGTTACCTAATTGGAATATATGTCCCAGAGGAAGGCAGCAAGGAAGGAAGTCAGATATTTTATAAAAAGCTACAATCCCATGTTGCGAGAATTGATAAGGATGATTGTATTGGGTATTATTATTATTATATTATTGAGTGTGATTTAAATGCCCGAATCAGAAGTCAACCTATTAAAGATATAGTGGGAACCAATGGAATTGCTACATTTAATAATTACTGAATATCAAATTCGTTTTACAGACACAAAGATATACCAAATATACTTGGTACAGAAGAGGCACTAAATCTATTGTAGACTACATTCTTGTAAATAAAAAATTAATGTCACAAGTACAAGATACCAGAGTATATCGAGATTCAGATATTAATTCTGATCATTTCCTTGTTTCTACAGTCATCTTACTAACTAGATGGGCTACTAGGCATCAACACTTGCCAAGCCTACAGAGGAATATTTCAAAACCCATCTATTTCATGTAGACAGTATAAGGAAATTATATTGCCAAAGATTGATACAAAAGTTACAGAGCAATGAGCCTGGATGTTGAAATGGAATGAGAAGATTTAAAGGGAATAATTTGGCAAGCAGCTTTAGAATCATTGGGAGTTTATAATATAAAATGTTAAGACTAATTTGTTTAAATTAATTTACATGTAATTAAAGTATACATTTTGTCTTTATTGAAATGAATTCAAGCATGAATTTCCAAACTACATTTCCTTTCATTACAAAAGTATCAATGCCTTTTCTGAATCCAGGACCAAGACTGACACTGTCTGTATTTAAATATCACAGTCTCCTAATACTGGAACTACAGGCTAACAAGGTTTCAATTACACTAAAGAACTTCTTAGAAACTGAAATCAGAGTTTTGTAGTGAATCATCCACCATCCTCTGATGACGTCAAAATGATAAGTTTTGAAGTGAAGTATTAAAGCTTAAAGACAAACCTACTCTACACACATTTTCATATCACACAGTTCTTTCTCATCGACCTGAATGTGTTGCTCCTTTCATTAAAACAATAGAAAAAATCAATTTCATCAGCGAAAAATGCTTTAAAAATGATGGGGAAAATTAAAAAATGACTTAATATAAATCGATGAAAAAGGAAGGGGAAAAAAAAAAAGTCATAAAAACGGTTCATGGCATTGTACAAACAAGTGAGGGGGAAAAAAAAAAGAAAAGAAAAGAAAAAGGGAAATGAAGAAAAAGAAAAACAATTCTCATCAACAAATCAATTTTTTGGTCTGTTTTACGTTTTTAACAATTTTCTAGTCAATTTTACATTTCTAATAATTTTTAATTTTATTGTGATCAAATACTAAAAATGAGTAAAAAATGTTAAAAAATTCTGAAGAGTTCTTTTCAAAATCAGACTTTACCTGAGATCCTCTTGAGTCAAATAAATCGATGCAAGGTGCCTGCAATCCAGTGGCCCGGGTACCTAGTCCTTTGCCTTCTTGGTAGGATTGCACACGAGCTGTTAACTTCACCCATCGAGCAACATGTACCAAAGACTCAAAGGCATCAACTGCTTCTGGTGTCCAAGAATCACCCCTACAACATAGATTTATCATATTACACCAACATATCATCACAACAACTAAAAAGTAATTATCTAATTAATAATATTCCCATTGAGAAAGAAAGAAAGAAAGAAAGAGAAAAGAAAGAACAATTTTGTTTAAAGATTTTTTATAGAGATGCAATAGCCCTCCAGCAATTGTGAATAAGGAAACTTTGCAATAACTAAGAAGCTCTTTTTAACTCTGTTTTCATGTTCCATTTCATTTCTCAGTTTACTGTTACAAATTAATATTCAAATAAATTCACAATGTATTTACAAATTCCCAGGCTCTTTAAGTTATCCAGAAAACTTTGTCCAAAGATGTGAAGCAACTTATTCTACAGTACTTGCAGTGCATAAGCAACTCTGACAGTCTAATAGTAGTGCGCCGTTCCCACACATTACCAGACACGTGGCACCACCTACATGACAGATAAATGAAATCTCAAAATCTTAATGCGCGTCAATGCTGAAACATGGCTGTGAGAAAATATACAAATCCTGCAGGCTGATTGCTTCAAAGTAGGTCACATGTCGTACAACAGCACATGGCGAGACAACTGTCAAAGTTTGTTAAAGACAGACTGTAGGAACTTTGTACCCCAAAACACAAGAGATCAAGAAAACCAGCGTGGACGATTCTAATCACCCTTATCTTATGAAAACAACATAAAAAGTTCAGCTTATTAAATTACTCAAGCTTGAAATGGTGAAGGCTCACTTTCTAAAAAGAAATATCCTTTGAGGAACTAAAGAGCTACAACATGTTGCTGACACTGACGGGAAAACAAAGAGAAGGGAAAAGAAAACTGCTTCATGTCAATTCCAGAAAAGATGAATAATTCATTACACTACAAAATGGAGTGCTCATTTTAGTAGATGTCATAACACAAGAAGTTTTTTGCATTAACTGCATTTACATTGCATTAAGATGTAATCTCTTTGATTTGGCACTCGTTAGAGGCATGTTGGATAAAAAAATCTTTATACATTTCACTTTTTCTATCACAGAATATCAGAATAGATAACAGCTATTAAGACTATCTGAAGAAAACAAAATGAAGAAGTCCTTCAAAATCTGCAGTGGTCCAAATACTTCCATTCTGAAAGTTTGCTAAAAAAATGTTTGAAGAATAGAACCAACAAGGATGGCAACGGTACTGAACACACTTCACATAAAGAGAACTCAAGAGAAAAGGCAAACATATACAAGACTGGAGAGAGTTCCTAATAAAAGAAAAGGAACTAGCAAGTCAAAACCGAGAAAATAGTATTTAAAAAACACCAGAGGCTGGATGATCAAACTATCAACTGAGATTTGCAATAAATTTGAATGAGCATCATTCATTAAGTCAAGAATTTAACAGATATTTCACATCACAACTTTGTAATATAACACTACTCTAACAATGTTCACAGTCCTGATCATGTGTTTGTGCCTTCATTACATGGCTTCTCTTTGTATGGCAATTTAATGAGAGGATATAAAAAAGTGTTAAATTTTTGGCTGTAAACAAATATTGGTCATTCAAACTAATTGTTCAAAGTACTTTATTAGTCATATTGAGACAGAGATATGCTCCAATAAAACACCAAATGACAATTCTTGTTTGTAACAGCTATGATGTACAGTAAACAGATGAAAAGTACTGTAAACTACTAAAAGGAATAATTGAAACATTTTTCATTAAATCCATTCAACCAAGTTTTATGGGCTGGAACCCTGTGACACGTACCTTAAGGCTGCAATGAAGGCAAAAGTACATTCATCGATGAATAATAAATTTATTTTTTAACAACTCAAACTTGTATTAATGTGAATTCAGTCATTAAATACAAAGTGGAAAAATATATAAATTAATTCAACATAAAAAGTAATGCAGAACATTATGCAGCAAAAGTAACTCTCTCACTCAGAAATACTTCAAATTCAGAATTAACTTACTTGGGCTGCACATTTGCCAATGAACATTCAATGGCCTGGAAACGAAGCTGCAAGAAGTCTGTTCTTAATCGCAACAACTGATTTTGTGGAACTATCTCAGAGTCACCATAATCCACAAAGTAGATATCAACTTCACTATCTCCCGGATTGTATTCATCATAGTTCACTTTAACAACCCTAGCTCGGTACCATTTCTTATCTACATCAAATAGAGCTGCAACCATTTGATTCTCCTGAAGCTGTTAACATGGGTGAATGTTATTAAAAATAATATAAATAAAAGTCACATCAAGGTACTTAACAATTCTCTATCCAAAAAAATTCAATTTGAAAGAAGAAACAAGTTCATACACAATTTACAAGGAAAATGATGAACGCAAGCAAATTAAGGTTTAAATACACTTTTATTTGTATTTTTCATGTACTTTTCAAGAAACTCATCTCTAACATTATCAATTTAAATACTTTAATTGTAACGCTGGTTATGAAACAACTGAATGAAATAATAGAAAAAATTAATTTGAACTTTCGTGAAATGTGTTACAATATCTAAAACATCTCCTTGCAAAGAACATAACTTTATACAACTCACTTTAGATGTTATTGCATGTAATTCTTGATTTTCCTCTTTGTTGTAATAGTCAGTCATTTGCTCAACTAAAAAATCCAAGTCAACTGCTCTTGGACCGTACATCTGTAAGAAACGGAGGACAAATATTGAAGCATTTCAAACACTTTAAACAGAAAAACAATTGACAAGGAAATAATGTCATAAAAAATATCAGGACTCTACTTCATACAGCTTTGGTTTCACTGATTACCTACAAACACACAATTCTATAAGTGAAAGAATTTGACATAAAATAATTAATTAGTACGAACTGAAATTTATTACATGTCCAAAACCAGTTTCATCTGCAATTTCTGAAGACAACCAAATTCTTGAAAAGTATAAATAATAGGAGATTTATATTTTATAGTCTCCCAGTTGCTCTTAGTATAAAATCTCTCAGAATCTCAAAGAACATACCACAAATGTAAAATGTGTATCCCAATGTTTTAAGTCCCCAGTTTGAAAGACAGTCAACACCAATTTTAGGGCAATTTGAAGATCACGTCTTAGAATGACACTTTCAATGATATTTCTCACTCACAAGTAACCACAATGTTTTTTTAGAAAGTTATTGAAACGAAAGGCGGAATAGTTTTAGGCAGTTTTTGTTACCACACTATAAATTGTTCAACTTTGGAAAAAGTTTGTAGTATTGATATGTACATAAAACAACAATACACATCCATGTCATTCCAGAACTTTTATTCCAATTCCCTATCCATTTAATTCATGTAAAAGCAGAAATGTTTAATTGCATTGCCCATTTTCATTTCTTTGAATATTTTCTTGAAAAATAAAAAAGTTCATCATATTTTATAGACATTTTAGATTAGCAGCATTAGAAATTCACTATGTAATTCACTTTCCCAGAATTTTAGACATCCATAAAAGCTACAAGAAATGTTCAACATTTCTTATCATTTGGACTTCATTCAATGTATGAATTCATTTTTAACGCTTCAAAAGTATATTGGTTTAAAGAAATTTATTTTAATAACTATACCTTAGAATGCCTAGCACACCAGTACCCCCTACAATGCCCAGTGGAGTTGTTTCAATGGTATTGTATTAAATGATATTTGTTAAAGAGTAATACTGCAAAAATATTTTACATCACTCTTATGAATAATATTTATTGCTTAATAGAGTAACTAAGCCACACCTGAAATATATTTTACACATCACATTACTATTCTGCTAGGTGTGAGTGAATGTCTTGACTCCAAGGCGCAAGAAGACAGAAAAATGAAAATGTTGAAAACTTTTATGAATAAATAATATATGTAATAAGAATAATATGAAATTTTTATAAATATTTAATTTTAAAGAACACCAATTTCACACATGACACAAAAATACCTTTTCTTTTGACTGCATGTTCCATATACTAATGTCCCCTAATGGAGAACTTTATTTTTATTTACACATTTTAGCTTCACATTGATGGTAATATGGATTCACATTTACCTGTTTACTAATTAACTAGATATTAATTTGACTAGGTTTGTCTTTTCATATTTCCCTTCATAAAAGATCATGTAGAATCATTCAACGTTTTCATATTTCCCTCGTAATCATAATCCTCTAGATATAAAGATATAATACAGGTAAATTATGCAGTGTATATTGAGCTCCATATCAAAGGCAATTAAGAAATTTTTCTACAGATAGCTGTGAAAGTCACTGTTGTCTTCTCAAATCTCATCTACTTCAAAATCATGGCCGGAGATGTGACTCTGAAAAAACTACTTGTAGCTGACCACTTCATCACCATTTGAAGTGCTAAATAACGTTCTACTAATCGTGAAAGTTCTCTTCTATTTGAATGTACATTTAGCGGAATGATTGGAAGAAATATTTGTCTTATCAAACAGGTATTGTTATGTAGAATTTGTATTTAGAAAATGTAATGTTTATAGATTTGCTATAACATAACAAAACATACTTGACTTTCCGCTCAATTTAATGTATTGAAAAGGAATACAATCCACAGTTGGAAGGAATATTTCACTTATGTCTTCCAAGAAGATATACTGAAGGTGTTGGGATAAAGAGTGAAAAAATTTGAGCGTTGAATATCTTATAAGCAGACGGAAGTTACAGAATGTGGGTCAACCATGAGTCGAATGATGCGTTCTGAGGCATTTGCGTCAATTCGATCTTTTTGTAAATACAATATCAGATTTTAGTCTTTTCAATGTTTAATACAAGATGTAAATAAATATTAAAGATGAAAAGTCATGAAACTGCAAATTTCCTATCAATAATAACAAAGACAGATTATAAGATGTAAAAGAGCGGTCAGGTGTCAAATGAACACTGGTGGGCATTCTAGTTTTTAATATTACTATAACTGGTTGACAAACAGTTAATTCTAATAACATTAGAATGAATAGGTAGAGAGGTGTATGCAGAGAAATAGCAAATAGTTTATATACTGTTTTTTCTGAACAACTGCTTGGAAAAATCGGGAAAATTAGCACACAAGATATAAATTGATTTAAAGGGAACTGTGTCACCAAGCAATAATCTCCCAACGATGAATTCCTCATATGGCTGAACATTTTATTCCTGTAGCATTCTTTGCACTTTGTCATCTCTACAAACACAAATGGAAATCTTCTAACAAATTTCACGGCCATTTATTCACATGAGACTACTTTCTGATCTTAATGAAGGATTGGGGAAGAAACTATGCGAGTCAAGAAATTGACATTTTTGAGATACTGAATGCTTTGGCAGTTTTAAAATTCAGTGGTGTGGCTGATGCCCAACAAACTAGAGGTTTGCCAGCTCCATTGATGACAGAAATGTTAATTTCCAAAATTCTCAGAACATAATAATATAAAAAAAAATGTAAGTAATTCATGTAATTATTTAAACACATTATTAAAAGTCTATATTTGAAATATTACTTTACATGAATTTTCTGTGGTAGTGAGCGCAATCAAATCATTATTCAACTCCGTGGCGTGTGTTCTCGGTTTTGATTTTCAAGTGGTACTCTAGGTTTTTGTATTAGTTTCGCTATTGAGAGAATTGAGGTAATAGAGACATACAAAATACAAAACTTTATTTTGAAAATACAGTGATCACACTCCAGCATGAAGGCAAAGAGGCACTATATGCTTCAGCAAGTTTTACACAAATATATTTAAAAGATCTTGCCCGAACATTTGTTTCACAATAAGCTTGCAACATGAGACTGTTGCTTATCTTGAGATGCACTCATCGCGTGAGAGACAGAAGGGATTTTCCTTCCAGTGTGGCCAATTTCTACCACAAAGCATCTCAAATGTAATTTGTTAGTAATCAACATAATTGGTCTCAAATGAAAATAAAATTCTCCAAATTTCATAATAATGCGTTCAATATGGTCAATAAATTTCGACTGTACTGGTGTACTTTTCATATAATATGGAAAATACGATAACAACTAATATGCAACTGAGTGTAGATGAAGACAGTAGTTTGTTTGATATTGTGGCTGTCCAGGATGAGACCATCATGATGCGGCTCAAACTGATGTTTTGGCCATCATGTTGTGGGTTCTAGAGCTATACTGCTACTCAGCATTATAGATCAGAGAAGGCACAACATGATGGCTTGAACGTCAAGCCTGACTGCTGTGGAACTGCTCATCCTCGACACCAAGTCTCCAATGGCTGGCCACAGAAGCCTAAGAAAGCCACAGTAAATTGTATTCTCTTCTGATGGCCATGGATTTTGGGCAACACAACCGTCTACCCTTAGTGTGGGTGCTGTATCGAAGGCAATAACAGTAAGAGAGCCAAGAGCGGTGACATTAGTTGCAGCCCTGTATGAGAGCAAGAAGACGGCCAGAGAGAGAGAGAAAGAGCATGTGTTGGTGCTTTTTTGGCTTCAAAATGATTTTGTATTCTTTCATATTGGTGCAATATCTCGAATATTAAATATCTAGTTTAAAAGGAAAATGTATATTGCGGATCCGGTATTAGTTAAATTTTTTGTTATTATCCGGGGAATGTGGCAACGACGCAAACTAAAGAACAAGTTGCGCGTAGTTTAAATACTTTTCTTGAGCATTGAAAATGGAATGTTAAAAACATTATAATCAGGAAAAACGTAAGCAACGATTTCATGCAAAGAAAAAAGCGAGAGTCAGTTATGCAACGAGGGGATGGGTATTTTAAGTATACAAACACTTTGCAGCATAATATTCAATAAGTATAGAAGAAAGAGCAATGAGTTGCTTTAAATGCTGATTTCTTGTTTCCAATCAAATTGCTGCTAAATTTCTCCTCCCTCCTATACTTTTGTTTAGTCTCTAACCAAGGAAGCAAAAACCGAACCAGACGCGACCACACAGACAACAACAACAACAAACAACAAAACATCTGACACCCAAAACGTGGAAGGACTGCTGACAGCTGAGACATTACGACTGCTGACAACTAGCCATCAGGCTGCTGACCGCACGCTAATTTCTCAGAAGCATCAGTTTTCACTTTGGAACTGCTGTTTAACCAAAACATTTATATTAAACACCCGACAATAATTAACAGTAATAATAACAGTTGTCTGTTTATTGTAGATAGTAATTTCGAAATTATGATATGGTAGAATATAGATTAATATAGTGTAGGGAAAACTGGCAATGCTCACGAACGGGTGTCAAGCATAGATAGGATATTATTGTCTGAAAGTAGACTGATTAGACTGGAAAGATTTGGTAAGGGCTGGATTCCTGTAAGCATTTAAACTTTCTGTAATAGAGAAAAAGTAGGGATACTAAAGTAGTATACTTAACTTGACATGAGGTAGGATATCCTAAACGAGTTAGAGAAGTCATGATTTTATGTACGATTTACTGTTGCTGTTTATGTTTCCTGACTTAGGTCAGTTTAGAAATTGGATAAACAGGTAAGTCAGTAAACTATTAAATGCTAATTATTTAAGGGGGGGTGGGGAATATTATATAGTAGGCGATGTGCAGCAGAAGTACATTGGAGCTACTTATTACATATCATAGGCTCATGAAGTGAGTCACAAATAGTTTTCAACAGACTTCTATAATTGTCATGGGTATCAACAAGATTTAC